AATATGATAGTGTAGTTGTTGTTGTTATGTGCCGTCGAGTTGGACCTGACTCATAGCGACCCCTCCTTGGGTTGCCGAGGCAGTATCACTACGGAAGTAGACTGCCCAGTCTTCCTTCCGAGGAGTGGCTGGTGTGTTTGAATGCCAGCCTTCTGGTTAGCAGTCAAGTGCCTTAGGCACTATGCTACCAGAGTTCCCTGGCAGTGTAGTAGCATGCTTGATTAGATTATGTGATATGGCAAGTGATAAGATGATCACTCTCGTATGTATGTTGCATTTTGTAAAACTCAGACCAGAAAGGGAGAAGTCATAGTATATGCTCCTGTGGTCTAGAAAAAAGCCATGCCATCCTTGTTGTGAGCTGCCTATGGGGCATATATGAAAGTATACATGCTAATAATGGTCTCTGGTCATAATTAGTGAAAAAATAGGAATCTTAATAATATAGCTTCAAGGAAGTGAATTCTGTCAGCAACTAGTTAGCCTACAAGAGATCCTACACATCAGCTGAGAATTGTAGCCCCTGCTGGTATTTTGATTTCTGCCTGGTAACATTTTATGCAGAGGACCCAGGTAACTCATGCGCAGACTCCTGGGCCAGCAAAACTGAGATAACAAATGAGTATTATTTTAATCTGCTAAATTTGTGGTAATTTTTTATACAGCAATAGGAGTATACTACTATACCTGTGAATTATAATTTTAATTTGTATCTTTCAATCAACTGTTAATCAGCGTGTCTTTCAACTGTGAATTTCCTTGACCTATCTCATGAACCTTTTTTAATTTAGGTACGAAGTAGGTATTTGTGAAACTGAAATGATTACCATTCTTGTTCATTTCTTTTCTCCAAAAGTTGTAATTTGAAAATTAGCTTGCATTATGGCACAAATGGTTTGCACTTGACTCCTAATCTACTGGTTGGTGGTTTCAACCTGCATCCAGTATTATCAAGGAGGAAAGGCATGGCAGTCTGTTTCTGGAAAAGACTACAGCCACAAATGCCCTGTGGAGAGTTCTACTCTGTAACACATGGTGTTGTCATGAGTCAGAATTGATGGGTTCTGTGTTTGCTTTTTGTTATTATCTGACATACTTTATTTTTTACACATGTCCATGGAAATAACTTGTGCACACATGTAGCATACATACATCATATGCCTGTGAAACTAATGTTAGGAGAGTATGCAGTTTGCCAAAAAGCCCATATAACACGTGTATTATTTGTGTAAAAATGCAGTATCTGCTTTGTCCTAGCTTTCATGTTTTGTTTTTCAGTCTTGAGATATAGAAGTTTTTCATACTACATTATCAATATTTTAGTAAATGTCACTTTTTCCAATTCTGTATTGTTGTTCTTAGATGCCATTAGGTTGCTTCCGACTCATAGCGACCCTTTGATTGCCTTATTCTACTTTGTCCTCACAGTCATTGCTGTTTAAGTCCATTGTTGCAGTCACTGTGTCAATCCATCTCATTGAGGGTCTTCTTCTTTTTTAGTGACCCTCTACTAACCATAATGTCCTTCTCCAGGGACTGGTCCTTCCTTATAAACAAAGTACATATGACAAATTCTCACTCTCCTTGCTTCTAAGGAGCATTCTGGGTATATTTCTTCCAAAAAACGTTTGTTCATTCTTCTGGCAGCTCATGGTATATAAAATATTCTTTGCCAACACCATAATTGAAATATATAAAATCTTCTTTTATCTTCTTTATTCATTGTCCAGCTTTTGCATACATATGAGGCAATTGAAAATACCTTGGCTTGATTTAGGTGCACCTTAGTCTTCAAAATGATAGCTTTTTAACACTTTAAAGAGGTCATTTGCAGCATATTTGTCATTTCATTTCTTGACTGCTGCTTCTATGTGCATTGATTGTGGATTCCAGTAAAATGAAATCTTGACAACTTCACCCTTTTCTCCATCTTTCATGATGTTGCTTA